AGAACTGTCTGTCCGGGGTGGGGGTCGGGACCCTTTAAGCGCAGCCCTCGGCTAGCCTGAGACAGCATCTCCACGCTCTAAGTCCTCCTCTGATGCCCTGCTGGCACTGCTTCCGGCCATCCTTAAGCCCTGTTCAGAGTCCACTCAATGTGGACTTGCTAGTTCGAATTAGCAAAACGCTAATTCGAACTAGTTTTTAGTTCTAGACGCGTTAGTTTGAATTAGCTTAGTTCGAATTAACTAATTCGAACTAAGTTAGTTCGAATTAACGTTGTAGTGTAGACGTACCCTAAGAGTGTACAATCTTCTGACCACAGAACTGACATAACACAGATATCAACAATGCAAGTGTCCCTGCAGTACCCTGACACTAACTCACCTTTGCTCTGGAATAGCTATATGAGGGGCCTGACTGAGTTCTCAATTACCTTCTTGATCCTAAATTTAAGAAGCTAGCTAACATGGGGTGCCTACAATATCAACAATCACCACAACTAATTTCCAGTCTTACTGTTGCTGTAATCTATCTATATATTTTAGAAGTGTGCATCTGTCTGTTCATGAGTCCGTTTGCTCAAGAACTCCTAAATGGTAAGAGCTAGGACCACCACATTTGGTATGCAGCTTTCTCTTATAATTTCAAGCAAGGTCAGGGTTTGGTTGTGCCAGGAAAATGAGATGTGCCTGGAATCTGATTATTTTCCATCACATGTAAAGAGAGGGGTCTGATCAGAGGGACATCTATATTGCTAAATGACCACTAGGGGCAGTGAGCACAGGACTGCCAAGTGACCATAGGGGGATGGCTGCACCAGCAAGAGAGTGGACAGTTGGGGCTGGGGCTCACCATCTCGATGGCCATCAGACTAGGTATGTGGCTCCTGTGCCCCAAGCCATCCCCCTGCCTCCCTCAGCCACAAGTGCTGGACAAGAGAGGGGGAAGCCCTGCTGGCCACTGGCTACACTGCCATGGCCCCCCTGAGGTCATCCCAGGCTCAAGCAGTACAACCCCTCTCCACCAGGAGATGCCAGGGGAGGACCTGGGAACCAGGGCCTGATGACCCCTGGTCCCACACAGGAAATACTGGGGTGCTGGAAATCATAGACAGCCCATTCCAAGGAGACACTGTGGGGGGGAGGGGGGGGAGAGACTGCATTCTGAGGCTGGGGAAGCAAG